AATCTGGGTCATATGGTTGCTGAATTGAATCGATATGAATAGAAATACATAAACCACAACCTGCAAACTAGTCATTTTGGCCCATTCGGTCCTTGAACTTTGCACCTCCATATAAACAAACAGTTCTAACCTTATTTGCGTACACAGTTCTTGAATTCCTTCAACCCTGTTTCTATCATCTAAATTAATATCGACATCCCTGAACTACTAACTCTGGAAGTGAATTTCACAGCCCAAAGACTACTTTATTGAGAAATTTCACTGCCCTGTTTTTAAATTTCTTAGATTTAACTTTCGAATTTGATTCATACAACTTGAATGTGCAATTTCTGGATGCAGTTTGCTTCCGCCTACCCAGTCCTATCTTTAATTTTTAGCACTTATCCTGGTTGAGCATTGTCACTGACCCTAATGAGTTGATGGTTAATGTTGAATTGGAGAAATCCACTTTGTATTAAGGGAAAGCATTAATGTAGGGTGTTTAAGGGCATACTGAATACACTAATATGCATTCTATTTTAGAATAGAGGTATCAAGCTCAATTAAATTCTTAGCACATTGTGCTGAACTTGCATCTCTTCCTTTTTTTGTAATATACAACCATGCTTGCTGTTACTGGCATTTCAGCCTTTGAAAAATTATTTGAACATGTGTACTTGTGCTTCAGAGTCTATTAACTTTGGGACTTCAATGTGGGCAATGTAGTTGTTAGTACATGGAGTTGTCCTCTTGTAAACTGTGCTGAGTAGTGGTATTACAAAGGTACACTATAAACGTTGGTCCCTGTAACAAGTGAAAGTTGCAAACAAGTAAATGTAGACTTTAACTTTTGACTTAGATGCAAGTAAGTATTTGACAGTGGATCTCCGAAACCTCTGCAGTTTCTGCAAGATGATCCAATGCATGTTATGGGATTAACCGAATTATGCATCTGTTTGTGGTCAAAGTGAGTGGTTAACTTCCTACATAACAAACTAAATACAGCAGGACAAAAGTTATACACAGATATTGATTTTAAAGAAGGGTTGTTAAAAATCAGCCTGGTTAGAAAATGCTTGATTTAAAGGCCCTATTAGAGCTTGTCTAACAGGTTTCAGATTTTTGCTCCCTGTGTGGATGAGAATGTGTTCTGTGGAGAGTATGAGCAAACTGACCGTAGCAGCATGGTTCAGGGAGCCACTCAAGTAGGGCAGAAAAGAGAAATGTAGTTGTAATCAGGAATTGTCTAGTCACGGGAATAGACACTGTTCTCTGTAGCCAGAGTGTCCTGAATGCTGCTTCCGGCCTGGTGCCTGAGTTCATGATATCTTATCTGGGCTGCAGAAGAACTTGGAGTGGGCAGGGAAGGATCTCGTTGCAGTGGTCCATGTAAGAATGAACGATACAAGTAGAAAGAAGGAAATGAGCAGGTAGGGGCTAAATTTTAAAGCAGAACTGAAAAAATAATGATCTCCAGACTACCAATTTGCTCATGGCTCAGATAGTAGAGTCAACAAGATTAAAGAGGTGAACATATGGCCCAAACATTGTGGGAGAAACCAGTTTGAATTCATGGGACATTGGCACCAGTACTGGGGAAGGAGGGAGCTGTTCCAATGGGACTGGCTCCACCTGAATCATGCTGGGGCCAGAGCCCTGGCAAATTGTGTAACTAGAGGTGTGAATAGGGCTTTAAGGTAAATGGGGTGTGGGTTCAGTTGCATGGAAAATTATGCTACAAGATGATAAGGCGGGGTAAGAGAGGCTGCTTGGCATGTTCTAGTAACTTTAATAAATAATAGGACAGAGTATAGAAAGGGTCAGGAACCCAACTTCAGGCACAGCAGGTGAAGGAATGACTGAGAGGAGGGGGCCAGTCAATGCAGAATGGAGAGTGTTGTACTTAAATGCATGCAGTATACAAAACTAAAATTGGCAGGTACAATGTTGCAGATATCATAGACGTGGCTGGAGGAGGATTAGGTCTGGGATCTAAATATCGAAGGGTACGTGTCCTATTGAAAGGACAGGTAGATTGGCAGGGGGGTGAGGTTACCTTGTTAGTAGGAAACTAAATTAATTGATAGTGAGAAGTAGAACCTAAGTGAGTAAAGTTGAGGAACAGGAAAGGTAAAACCACTCTGATAGGAGTTGTGTACAGGCCACCTAGCAGTAATCAGAATGTGGGCAGAAAATAAATTAGCAGATGGAAAAAGTGTGGAAGAATTATTATCTTGGGGGCTTCAATATGCAGGTGGACTGGGAACATCAGATTGGTAGCAGATCTCAAGAAAAGCAATTTGCAGAATGTGTACAAGATAAGCTGCTCTAAAAAACACCTGTGATAGAGCCCACAAGGGAACAGACAATTCTGAAGTTGAAGTGTAATGAGGCTGACTTGATTAGGGAGCTTAAGATGAAGAGACTCCTCTGGGTCAGTGATGATATGATAAATTCATGCTGCAGTTTGAGAGGGAGTAGTTCTGCTATAACGCATATTCCGGCAATACAAATTCGCTACAACACCAATGACGAATAGGGGAATGCTGCTTCTCAAACACGAAATTGAGTTGGCTTTAATGCGATTCCATTGGTGTGTGGAGGAGTACGCTTTGACATCACATGATTGTTTCGTGGGCTTTGTCCTGAGCATGCACAATGTAAGTGCCGAAAAAGTCTCCACCCCATCATGTGATCATTTCACACTTTTTTGAGGCATTTTCTGAGAGGTACAGTACTGTGATTTTTTGTTTTTATTTCATCATTAAATATGAATTAAATATTTATTCAAACTGTACTATCCTTTGAGTGAATTTTTTCCCCCCCTTTGGTCTGCCCCTAACCCTGCATTTCCTATACGCCCCGTTATTTCTATAGAATGATTTTCTATAACGCAGTGTTGCACAGGACTGTACCAGAACTTGGAGAGTTGAGGTCAGAAGTGGGTGTAATGGCCATCACTAAGGAGAAGGTGCTGGGGAAACTGAAAGTCTGGAAATGAATGAAACAACCAAACCAGATGGACTACACCATCGGGTTCTGAAGGAGGTAGCTGAGGAGATTGTGGAGACATTGCTGGTGATCTTTCAGGAATCACTGAAGTCAGGGAGGGTCATGGACTGGAAAATGGCTAATGTAAAATCCCTGTTAAAGAGGAGTTGAGAGGCAGAAGACCGGAAACTACAAGCTGGTTAGCCTGACCTCGGTCATTGAGATTTTAGAGTCTGTTACTTAAGAATGAAATTGCAGTGTACTTGGAAGTGCTGTGTCTGTATTTGATGGAGTTTCGAAGTGCCAGGGAGCGGGGGTGGTGGTGGTTGGGGGGTGGGGGGAGGGAAGGAAGAAGAAAAATCTGATCCAGACTCTGAAACCTAGAACACAGAGGCCTGGATAGAGTGGACCTGGAGAAGATGTAATCACTAGGAGGAGAGACTAGGACCTGAGAGCACAGCCTCAGATTGAAGGGGTGACCTTTTACAATGAGATGTGCAGGGATTACTTTACCAAAGTGTGATGAACCTGGAACTTATTGCCACAGAGGGCTGTGGAGGCCAAGTCATTGAGTGTATTTAAGACTTGAGTTCTTGACTGGTAAGGGGATCAAGAGTTATGGGAAGAAGGCAGGATAATGGAGCTGAGAAACATAGCAGTCATGATCGAATGGTGGTGCAGTCTTGATGAGCAGAATGGCCTAATTCTACTCCTATAAACTTATGGTCTTTAGTCACAGCAAATTGTGTCATTATTACTTATCCACTTTTGTGCTGAAAATTATGCTTAAATCCTTATATTGAAGTGCACTCTGTCTTATCACATGTTTAAAGTAAAAATTGTCTGAATGTAACTCTTGTCTTTCCATCTGCAATACAGCAAGAAATTGAGAATTTTAAGAAGCTAACTGTAATTAGTAAAGAACATTTCGATACCCTGGCACCTGAACCACCAGTTGACACAAACCAGGAGGTGCCTCCTGCACCACCAAAGGCACACCAAGGTAAGATCAGTATAGTATGTACTAAAACATTTAATTTTTGATCAGAGTACTTTTTAAGAATGGCTTATACCTGTTCCCTGTTTTTGTTAATTCATTCAATCATGGGTGAATTGCATAAAAAGGTGCTGAGTGATATATTTATCTGCTACTTTTTGAAGTAGGTTTCAATTCACGAATTGAAATTTATCACATTTAGTGCATTTTATTTGTAATGTATTAAAATTGACCTTTTATGGTCATTAATTTAGGTGAATCAAATAACTATAGACAGACTTTCATTAAAGTTTCTACTTGGCATGCTTACAGGAAAAAAGCATCTTTGTGTAAGAGAATCTATGAAGCAGTAAGACAGGACAGGGAGTAGTAGTGTTGATGTTAAGCTACTGGGCTAGTGATTCGGATTAAAATTTCACCAAGGTTGTTTGTATATTTGAATTCAGTGAAAACCATCTTTTATTTAAACTGAAAGCCCACTGATCTGACCACCGCTTGGCAGCAGCTTCAACATAACTTGGAGCACTGCTGTCAAAATTGTACCAGCAGTAACATCTAGAGGTCTGGTGGTGAAGTCAGAATAGTTGTTCATCCGGCTGGTCAAGCAACAGGTGGACATAAATGGTATTTCTAAGTATTACTGTCAAGCAATGTCTCTGGTTTCACCATTACCATGCACTGGTATGTCCTATCCAGTAACAGAACTGACACATCAGTGGTGTGAATACAGTCAGGAAGAAGGGTCCCAAGGAGTTCTTAACACTTCAACCCCATCAAGTTTTGTGGCTTCAAGTAAGCCATTATTGACATGGCAGTTTCCTGCTGATTACCATTTATCACTCAACCATTTAACCAAGGGGGTCTTGAGGCGCAGTAATAATGTCAATATATGTCAGCCAGAAGCCTTGGATGCAAGTTCTACACCAGGATATACTGGTTACAGAAGGAGCATTCGTGATGCAATTCAGCACGCTGATAATCAACTCAAAAGCCATCTGCCACTTCCCTAATTCCCTAAAAGGGAAGAAAAGTTGTGAGAAGATTTTTTTTTAAGAAAGTTACCCTCTGCCGTTCTGAGTAGTGGAAGCAGAAATGTATATAGTGAGTGGGGAACTTCAATGAAGTACACATTTGATTTAAGTATGCAAAAACAAATATACTCAATATTTTTGTGTGACCGTTTATGTGTAGTACCCTAAAGGGTCCAGCTTATGGATGGAAAATTTCTGGTTCTTAAGTGGCCATGCAGTTTAAAGGGAAGCTTGACATTACACACATGGACCAATATTCAGCCACTTGAAATAACTTTAATACTCAACACTTGGCTGCAAACCTGATTTCAGCTTTGGTTCAGACATGAATAAAGTTGAATTCCAGAAGTAAGGTGACATTGATTGCCCTTAATGTTGAGACATCAAGGAGCCCAAATGTAACTTCGATCTGAGAAAACTCTCTAAGTATTACTGTCAAGCAGTAAAGATGAGGGGTTTCTCAGTTGTGTAGTTATATTGGAGAAACCAATGTTGCCCACCTTTAAAGTCAAGAGGCGATTTGATAGAGTTGCTCAAAATCATGAGTTCTAGATGATCAATGGAGGGAAACCATTTCCATTGGTAGAAGAGTCAAAGAATCAACAGCTAAACGAAAAGTGATTTTTTTTTTTTTTTTTTGGTGCAGTGACCAATTAGGGTATGGAATGCACTTTTTTTTAAATACAAAGTGGTCAAGGCCACCACAGAATAGCCAAGATCTGAGCTCCATAGTTTGTGGAGTCCCGGACAGATTCTAACAATGGCCATTGCTTTCAACCTCCACTCCAAACTCCTTTCCATAATCATCAAAATTAACCCTTTCCCTGGAAACATAAGACATAACAAAAGCCAGTCTGTTCTGAACCTTGGTGTCACATTTGACCCCAAGATAAGTTTTTTGATTTGGTTTTATTTTTGTCATCCCTAAGGCTGTGTAGCTCCACCTCCTAACATCACCCAATTTTACCCTTTCTCAGCTGATCTACTGCTACAGCTCTTTGTTCATTACTTTGTTATCTCCAGACTTGACTATTTAAATCCCCTCTTTGCTTGTCTTTCTCCTATCCTCTCTGATCTTGAAGACATCTGAAACTCTCTATGGCTTAACTTGTAAGGTCCATTTGTCAAGCTTGCTGGACTGTATTAGTTTCCGACTTGACTTTAAAATTCTCTTCCTTGTTACAAATTACGTGTCATTCTTTCCTATCTCTGTATGTTCTTTTTAGTCCTATGCCTCCCTGAGATGCTTGTGCCCCTGTAATTCTGACTTTATGCATGCATATGCACCCTCCACCCCTGGATTTTAAATATTTCATTTCTTTTGTATTTTGGTGCTGGCCAAGTGCCAATCTATGGAATATTCGACCAATTATCCTCAGCCTATATACTGCATTTTCTTTCTTAGATGGTGCTCCTTAAAACCTATGATTTTGAAAAAACATTTGGTCATCTGATTTAATATCATCATAAATGGCTTGGAATTGTCCTTTGTTCTGTAACACTCTTCTGAACCACTGAGAAATTTCCTCATGTTAAAGATGGTATACAAATATAAGCTGTTGTTGGATGCATAATCAATCACAGTTTTCAAACAAGAAATGGCTGAGCTGTTGTAGAGAAGAAAATTGCAGGGCTACAGGGGAAAGTGAAATGAGTGTGCGACTAGATGAACTGGTGTTGCAAAGAACCGGCATTGACACCTGGACTAGCCTAGATGTGACTCCAGGCCCATAGCAATAAGGTTTACTCTGAATTGCCCCTTGAAAGGGCACAGCAAGCCACTCAGTTTCTGGGTGGTTAAGGATGGGTAACAGATATTGCCCTTGCCAGATATCCACTACTGTCTGTGCTGTAATGGTTCCGGAATATTGTGGTTTTCAAATATACATAAGTTTCTGTTGGCTACGCTTCTCCTATATTTCAGATCATCATAACTCACTGCATTTTATAATTTCTCCTTGTCTCTCCTTTTTTTATTCTTTTCCAGCTATCTTAAATGAGTCTCCTGGTTACCAACTCTTAATTTCCACTGTGGAATATTTCTCCTTTCTTTGATTACTCACCACAATTTAAAAAATTTCCATTAGTTAAGGAAATACAGCACAAATTTATTGAAAGCAGGTCATATTTATAAGTAGTTTGAGTTTGTTGATGAGGTAATGTAGGGTTGCTGCGGATAATACAGTTGATGTGTATGTGGACTTGCAAAAGGTGTTTGATAAAGTACCATTTGATAGGCCTGTCAGCAACACTGAAGCTCGTGGAATAAGAGGTCACAGGAGCGCAGTGTGATACCTTTTTTTTTTCATCCTACCAAAATATAATGCGAACTAAAGGATAAAATTCTAAAGAAGGCGCAGGAACAGAGCAGCCTGGGAGTATATATGCATGTATATCTTTGAAGATGGCAGGGCAGGTAGAAAGGGTGATTGAAGCAAAAGACAAAGACAATATGGTAATGTTACTAAACTAGTAATTCAAAGACCCAGGCCAAGGTTCTGGGTTTCGTAGGTTCAGATTCCACTATGGCAGCTGGTGGAATTTAAAATCAAATCATGAAGTCTGGAATGTGTTTCATAGTGACCATTGCTACCACTGGCTTATTGTTCTTATGTCCTATAGGGAAGGAATTCTGCTATTCTTACCTGCACTGTGCTAGATGTGACTCCAGGCCCGTAGCAATATGGTTGACTCTTAATTGTCCCTTGAAAGGGCACAACAAGCTACTCAATTTTTGGTTGGTTGGGAATGGGTAACAAACGTCATCACTGGCAAGGGCAACACTATCCTATGGATTTTTTTTAAAAATAGTCTAGATCACGGGTTGCTTCAGTTGCATTGAGTGGTTGGGATGTGCAAGTTGGACCAAAAGATCTTTTTCCATGCTTACATCTCTAGGACTCTAAGACCAGAATGTAGAAGACAGTGAAGCCTGATTTTAAGCATTTCTGTATTTGGAGAAAAATTTGTCTCTTGCAAAAACAGTAGCCAAATTTTGAATTACTTGTATCTGACAGATTATGCTGAAGAATTAGCCAACAAGCTGTTTGGTGTTGCAGAGCCACCATCATCAAACCTAGCCCGTTCTTTACCTACAACCGTACCAGAATCTCCAGTTTGTCCAGCCAGGACCCCAAGGACACCACGTACACCTAGGCTACAAGATCCCAGTAAGACACCACGATTTTATCCTGTCGTCAAAGAAGGAAGGCCTTTGGACATTGAGGTACGATAAATGTTTTAGTCTTTCTTGACAAGAAATACAATACCTTTTCCCTTTATTGTATGACATTATTTTGGCACAAAGTTCCGAATCCAGTTAGACCACATACGATGATGCTTTCTCCATAGTTCAGACAGTGAAAATATTGCTTTTTAATGCTTATGCATCACTTGAGTGCTCATTTTAAATTTAAAGATGGTCTTTATTAGTCCAGTCCTTTTTATTAAAAATCATACTCGATAAAAGCTCTGTTCAGATTTTCCTGAATTTTCTTTGTGTAGTGTGTATTTATCATTGCACTGGGGTCTGGAATAATGTAATGCTGATTATTGCTGGAAAAAAGACAACTTGCCAACCAATCAGCACTCTCCTCTCTGGTAATGCAAATGATGGTTTTCCCCTTCAAGGAAGGATAGAGGATTTGAATATTATTTAAATACAGAAAGCTATAGAAAGAGGGATGTGGGGGTTTTGTCCATGAATCACAAAAAGCTGGCATCCAAGTAATAGGGAAGACAAATTTCTATTATTATTTCTAAGGGAGTACAGTATGAAAGTAGGTCTTGCTAAAACTAGACGAAGTACTAGTCAGACCGCAACTGGAATACTGTGAATAGGTAGGGCCCCTATATCTAAGAAAAGATATACTGACACTGGCAACAGTCAAGAGAAGGTTCAGCAGGTTGATACCAAGGGACTGTCTTTATGGAGAGACGTTAAGTAGGCTGGGCCTGCACTGTTTGGAATTTAGAAGAATGTGAGGCAACCTGATTGAAACATACAAGATTCTTAGGGTAAATGCAGAAATGTTGTTTTCCCTTGTGAGAGAGTCTAGGACCAGGGGGCATAATCTGAGTAAGGGGTCGCCCAATTAAGACAGATGAAGAGAATCTTCTCTGAGAGTAGTGAATCTGTGGAATTCTTTATTGCAGATGACTGTTAAAGCTAGGTCATTAAGTATATTCAAGGTTGAAATGGAGATATTTTTAATCATTTAGGGGAGTCGATGGTTGAGAGGACTAGGGAGGAAAGTGAATTTGAGTATTATCAGCAATGATCCCATTGAACAGTGGAGCACACGGGTTGAATGGTCTACTTCTACTCCTACATCTTATGGTCTTGTGGAGTGCATGATGAAATGGAAACAAAATGTCCTTTTATTTTCAGCAATATTCCAGTTTCGTACCATCAAAGGACTGTTTGAGACATCAAAATGCAATATCTCAGTTTGTACGCTATCCTTCATTTTCAACCCCCCCCACCCCATCTCTCTATTGTCTTTTAATTTTGTAACATCTGTAGGTATAATATAAAAGTAAAAATCCATTGTCAATCTTTTTATGGACCCCATTCGCAGTATTTTGTCTGCTGGAAAGTGATTCAGCTTCCTTGGAAGTTTCATGAATGGTAACTCTCATGAAATTTGTAATTCAAAGACTCTCAAAAATAGAATGAAAACGTTAAAACCTGTATTATACACAATATATCACTTAATATCATCAGGCAGTTCTACTAAATTCTGAAATTATGCTGCAAACTCAGCAATGTATGTTCAATTAACATCATTTATTACTAGTACCAATGGCAATACATCCGTATTTAACCTCATAATCTCTTTACCTCAAGCCCTTTCTGACCTCACAGTGACTTGGCCCAAATACATGATGTGAATGGGTGCACTGAGGGTAATATGTAATTTACTGAGGCAAAAGCGAAGTTATTGGTAGTTTTTAAAACTCCAGGGTGATTGCATTTGCAGGCACCAAGGAAAAGAAAAACAAGGCATAGTTCAAATCCACCACTTGAATGTCATATTGGCTGGGTTATGGATTCCAAGGAACACAGACCAAGAACATCATCTGTTAGGTAAATGGTTTTGCTTATATCATTTATTAATAGTTTGGTACATTTATACACTTAAAAAGCGTAGAAATGTACAGCAATTGCAAACCAATGTAGTGATGCTGCTACTTGCGTAGTATCAACAAAAATGCTTAGATGGTTTATATCAGTTGAATAAATAGCAATTTCATAACTGGTCCATGAAAGGAGAAAATACAACCATATGTTCAATAATTGTAACATCATATTTACATAATATTAACATTTGTTATAGCATTCAGTATATTGCATATGTTAAATTTAATTGAAAGTATCTTTTAAGGTATTAAATGTAAGATTCCTTTACTCATTTGTTTATGTTAAATTCTTAGACAATTCAGTTTTTTATGCTATAAAAAGTATCATTGATGATACACATTTGTCATGTACATAAATCTACTTGTGTCTTTGGATATTGCTATTTTGTGACAATAGGCTGGATATCCTATCACTGCCTCTGAAAAGTTTAGTCCAAGACTGAAGTGGTTACTTAGGACGTTTATGAAAGATATTTAAGTTGCAAATGTTATGATGCCATTCTATGCTGTTGAAAATGACTTAAATTAGCAAAAGACACAGTCTAAACAAAATTTATCTATGCAACAATAACATTCCAGATTTATTTGGAAACAGTAATGCTGAGTAGTTTCTTATGACTAATTTCATAAGTTCTAAGCCTCCTTGTTTGGAGCCATCCAATTGCCAAAATGTCCTGCAAAAACAAATTAAATAATTCCAGAATGCTTTTTCCCTGCACTTTTGTATTTGCCTTCTAAGTCACTGTTGTACTTCAATGTAATTCCAAGGTACTGGTAACAACAAAGTATTGATGTTTGTTTCAATTTACCACATCCAAACATTCATCAATTATAGCAAGTGGAATATTTCAAAATAAGTTTCATTTTGACTCTTTTTATAGTAATGATAATTATTTATTCCTTGAAATAATCACACATTCTTGATTTAGGAACTATTTAGGAATGGTGAGGAGCAACAAGGAAACTATAGATTGGTGAGCTTACCATTAGGGAAATGGCAAGTCTGTAATTAAGACTGAATACTTTGAATCTTTCAGCTGATCAGAGAGGACCAGAATGTGAATTTTTAATAGGGTAGATCATGCCTGATGAACTGATTTGAATTTTGGAAAAGATGACAGAATAATGGGTATGGATGTGATTTTATATGGATGTTATTTGTGGACTTCAGGATCAAAAATTCTTAGGTTCACTAGATTGATCTCAGAGATGAGGGTTTTGTCTTACAAAGAAAGATTGAACAGTTTAGGCCAACACTCGAGTTTAGAAGAATGAGAGGAGGTACACAAGATGCCAAACAGGATCAATGAAGTAGACTTGGGCAATTTCCTCATGGGGCAATCTAAGACAAGAGGCCCTCGTCTTGGGATAAGGGGTAGCAGATTTAAAACAGATGACAGTTATTTCTGTGAAAGGATCGTGAGCCTGTAGATGGTACAATGGACATTGTCTATCTCTTCTCTCGACTAAATTTACTCGGATTTTTAATGAGTAATGGATTGAAGGGTAAGGCCAGTAGGCAGGAAAGTGGGGTTGAGACCAAGATGAGATCAACCACGATTGTATTAAATGTTGGAGCAAGCTTGAGGGGCTGAGTTGCCTATTCCTGCTCCTTGCTCTTAAGTTCATGAGAGGCTGTTAGCCAAAGTTGAAATGCATGGACTTGAAGGCAAATTATCATTCTAATCAGGAAATTGGATGAATGACAATTAATAGAGTAGAAGAACGGGCAGTTTGTGACTCGAGTGCCCCATAGGATGTGTTTAACACTTCTTAATATTTTAGCGAAGATCTGTGGCACAGGTTGTGGCTGGAGTTGTTGGTTGATTCGCTGAGCTGACTATTTTCCGTGCAAACATAGCATCCCCCTTCTAAGTGACATCTTCAGTGCTATCTAGTCTCCATTGAAATACTGCTGTTCTGTTTCGTTCTGTTCCGTTCTGAACTTGTATTGTCTGGTCTGTTATGGTGAGTAGTTCTGTTTGTTTATAGTATCAGTAGTTGAAAACCAGGTTTCCAGGAATTCTCGTGCTTGTCTTTGTTTTGCTTGACCTAGCACCAGAATTCCTGGAAGCCTGGTTTTCAACCAGTGATACCATTAAAAGCATGTTGAAATAGACCCCATCTACATACTACTGCGAAGGAAAACCGGAAACAGAACTACAGGCCATATAAATTCATAACAGAACAGAACAGCAGCACTTCAATGGAGACTAAACAGCACTGATGAGGTAACCTGGAAGGGGGATGAAACGTTTGCATGAAAACCAGTTAGCTTGGCAAACGTAATGACAACTCCAGTGTTTAGCATTGTTTACTATAAACTATTTGACTGGTCTTGTGCACCTGTAACACATGACTCCAGTTCTGAAGGTTGTATCTTCAAATCATATCGGGATCAGTGTTTTGGGCTCTTCTAGTAAAGTGGTAGTGTCTCCACCTTTGGAATGGAGGTCTGCCTTCAAGTTCTACATATCCTAGAGCTTTGTCATAACATGTCAAAATGGATTGATTAAAAATATTTACTTTAGACTATTTATTAAGCATTTAGTGAGATCAACAAACCACTTTTCAGGTTTGCTCTTGACAAAAATAGACAACATAGTGCAAATTTACAAAGAAAAACTGGTTTAAGAGAATGGACAAAATTGTAGGAAATTTATTTCAAGTGCAGGTAAATGAGATCACCTTTTCAGACTCCGGATAGAACAGAGAATTTATAAATGGTGAAAATATAGAAACAATGGAGGTCAATGAGACTTGACTTCATTAAAATATCTTGAACGAGTACAAAAAATAATTACAAGGGCTAATGAAATGCTTGCCTTGATATCTGAAGAACCAAAATACAGAACGTTAGGAATTATACTCCAGCTAATCAGAATTTTATTACAACTGAAGAATTGAGATCAGTTATGGGCATAGGAACACCATAGAAAGAAAGGATTTATTGCCCTTGGGGAGATGCAGCATAGATTTATCAGAATGATTCCTGGTCTTCAAAGAGTAACCTCCAAGGAACACCTGTACAAATTAGATAGGTATTCCCTGTAATTTGGATGGTTATGGGGAGATTTAATATTAACTTTCAAAATATAAATGAGAGCAAATGGGATTGATGTGAGAGAATATTTACTGCAGGTTGGAGACTTTAAATTAGGAACATTGTCAATATAAAATGGAGCCAGACCTTTTCGGGAGTTAAATTAGGATACTCATTCATACATGGGGTTGTAGAAGTTTGAAACACTTCTGCAATTGCCAGTTAATACTGGATAATGGCTGATAAAAATCTATCAACCTCAGATTTGCTATTAATCCTAGTAATTAAGGTATAATGGGCAAAGATGGGAGTTGATGACCGATCAGCCATGATCTCTTTGAAAGCAAAACTGGCTTCAGGGGCTAAAAGTCAATTTTAAGCCTGTATAAATGGTTGCAATTAGTGGAAACTCTGATCATCTTGATCCGGGGATTTGGCCAGTTTTGTGCACCGGTAGAAAACAAAATTCCACTGCTGCAAAAGGTGGTCTTGAATGTACTTTGCACTTAACATTCTGTGCTTTAGTGTGTTGCTTGGCTGATATGTGACTAGTTATGCTGAGAAAACTAGCACAGACTAACAACTAACAAAACTTGTACCAGTAAAGTGGAGAATCTACAAGCCAACTTTAGTATTATATCCACCAGAAACATAGTAGTGAGAAAATGTTAAGAGAATAAAATTTCATTCCAAGCTTTGAAATTGTTTTTGTCCACTTAGTAGTTCAAATGCCAGTCCTTCAGAAGGCACACCATTTGTTGGAAGTTATGGCTGTACACCAAACTCTCTACCTAAGTTCCAGCATCCTTCCCATGAGCTTTTAAGAGAAAATGGCTTCACTCAACAAGTTTACTACAAATATCGTCGAAGATGTTTAAACGGTGAGCCTTTATCCTATATTTTCTTCTGTGATGAGAAGTTTGGATAGTTTTGAGTACAGTGAACTTAAAGGATATTGTTCATCCAAAGTAGCAGTTCTTCTCTTACTGGTTTGTACAATTTATTGTTTTCATTTCAAGATATCTTTGTAGCTTTAAAATAAACTCCTCTTTTATGAAGGTTTTTACTTCTAATATACAGCTGAGAAAGGAAAATAAATATGTGACATTTGGGTATTGTAGCTAGTAATTGTACATGGCAGTGAACCTTTTGTAACCTTGGTTTTAATTTGGAAGATTGCTTTATAACTGCTTGGTGATTAACAGTACGTAAATGTTGCTTAAAAGTGATACTGAATTCTAAGCTTTTTGTCCTGCATTCATCTGCATTGAAAACAAACTTTTTGAAAGTTGTTAGGAACAATGTAGAACTTTAATCTTAATTTATTTTTTGTTTTATGAAGGAGGGACATAATTCTAAGGTTGTTGTGAACTTGGTGCCAAGAAGTATGGAGAAGCCTATTTTTATGAATAGTAATCTTTTGGTTCATTTTTACAAGAAGTGTGGGGACTAAAAAAAAACTCTCCCAGTAATAGGGATTGAGGGACACACAAGACTCCAGAAGCAAATGGTCTTTGTTTATTATATGCCAGAGTGTGGAGGCAGTAGTGTTAAACTCTCTAGTATGAAATCCTGCAAAACTGCTGGAAATTGAGTTCTGAGGAAGGGTCACCGGACCTGAAATGTTAACTGTTTTTTCCTTCACAGATGCTGCTGGACCTGCTGAGCTTTCCAGGAACTTTATTTTTGTTTGCTGCTGGAAATTGTGTTTAGGAAATTCATGTTCGTTCTGAGGTTTAGTTTGCAGCTTATTTTGAGTGTCTCGCATACCAGCCAAATAAAGTATCTGGTGATCATGCAGAAAGTTGTCGGAAGGAAACTGGTTGCAGTTGTGCTAGCCTGAGCAAGATAATTTAGTCTTGAGGTTGGTAAATTTTGCTGGGGTTGTGGTGTTTGTAAGGCTATTATTGGGATAGCTGTGGTTTTGAATCCTTTTCTGGTGTTCGTAATGAAATCTTTCCATCATTTTTCCCAATGGAATGTTATTTTCTCTCTCAATTCATTACTTTTTTTGTTAATAATTACACTAGCAAACTCTTGAGAATACATTCAGTAACAGACCACTGTGGTTTAGAATAAATCGGAGATACCAAATTAGGGTCGATCAATCCAGGATTTGGTCTCAGACCTGATTTGTCCAGTATTAACATCAGCTGGGGTCTTAAATGGGGGCTTATCTAGGACCAAAAATCCTTGAATTTGAGATGTGAGTGAATCTTTAAGTATAAGTACCTACAGGTATTTGGCATAGGAATGTGAATTGCTGTGTAATAGATTACATGGTTTGGAATTTTAGAGGCTTTGACTATGTTGCTAAAACATTTCTGGGAGTAGATGTAATATTGAATTGTTTCCAGCCTTTGACTAAGGCTAAACTCTATTAGGAGATAATTGAAGATAGAACCTCGAGGCACACAGCCCTCCAAGATTAGCTCCTGTAATTTGGACCTCTTTAGGGTCTCTGATTTTAATCACTTCGATGTTGGCAGACTTGCCTTCAGCTGTCTGGATCCTAAGCTCTGGAATTCCCTCCCTAAACCTTGCTGCCCCTCTCTCCAGTTAAACAGGGCACTGGTCAGCCCACATATGAAGTATGGTGTAAAGTATTATCTCCTTATTGAAGGAAGGAGGCAAATTCATTGGAGACAGTTTAGAGACTAATACCTGGAATGGGCAGATTGTCAAATGAGGAATGGTTGGACAGACCGGGCCTGTATCTGCTGGAGGTTAGAAGAGTGATAGAACATTTGATTGAAATACAATTGCTGGAGGTGTCTTGACAGACAGAATCTAGAACCAGGGAACAGTGTCTGAAAATAAGAGGACCCCCTTTTTAAGACAGAAAGAGAATGTTTTGTCAGAGTGTCTGACTCTTTCCCTCAAAGCAATGTAAGCAGAGTCTTGGTGTATTTTTGAGGCAGAGGTGATGTATTCTTTTTGATAAGCAAGGGAGCAGGATGAAAGGTTACTGGGGGCAGGCAGGAATGTGCAACAATTAGGATCAATCTTGATCTTATTGAATGGTGAAGCAGGCTTGAAAGGCCTGTTCCTGCTTCTATTTTAGAGTTGTTAGGAAGGCGTATGGTGTGTTAGCTTTCATTAATAGAGGGATGGAGTTCAAGATCTGTGAAGTTATGCTCCAGCTATACAAAACCCTGATTCGGCCACATCTGGAGTATTGTGTCCAGTTCTGGTCGCCTCATTCCAGGAAAGATGTGGAAGCGTTGGAAAAGGTGCAGGGGAGATTTACCAGGATGTTGCCTGGAATGGAGGGAAGGTCCTACAAGGAAAGGTTGAGAGAGCTAGGGCTTTTCTCTTTAGAACAACGAAGGATGAGAGGTGACTTTATAGAGGTGTACAAAATGATCAGAGGTATAGATAGAGTGGGCAGCCAGAGACTTTTTCCTCGGGTAAAGGTAGCTATTATGAGGGGGCATAGCTTTAAAGTGAGTGGAGGTAGCTAGAGGGGAGACGTCAGAGATAGGTTCTTTACTCGGAGTGGTAGGGGCATGGAATGCATTGCCGGAGAGAGTAGTGGAGTCGGCCTCATTAGGGGCATTTAAGCGGCTATTAGATAGGCGTATGGATGATAGTATCAGGTAGGGGTGGAGGTTAGATAGACCTTAGGATTAGGGTAAAAGTTCAGCACAACATCGTGGGCCGAAGGGCCTGTACTGTGCTGTATTGTTGTATGTTCTACGTTCTAAGTAAAAACAAGGATCTTATAAGAGTAACATGATTAAATGATAGCATTTAGAATTGAAAGCAAAGCATCTGAAATTGATGTATCAAAGTTACAATTAGCTAAGATTTAGTTGCATATGGTGCAAGAGAATTTTTTAAAATCTTGAAGTGGCAAGAGAGGAGAGAAAAACATTGAAAGGGAAATGGGAAAGTTTGAACTCCAAAGAAAGTAAGAAATCGGACAGTGTGACCTTAGTTTAAGAAAAGTTTGGGGTAAAGGAAGAAAGCAGAGAGTTCAAAGCATGATTCTGATTGCACTGAAGAATTGGATTTAACTACAATTTTTGTTTAGTACCTAAATTTAGAGTATGGTGTTAAAAGATAATTAACCTCATTTTAAAAGCTAGCTGTGACATTGAATTGCCACTTAAGCCTTAATGTTAGACTGACCAGATGAGTACAGCTATGGATGTGTACACCACTAGTCTGCAGGGAGAATATTCCACAGACTATGAAGTGGTTAAAAAGGCAGTATTAAATGCTTATGAGTTTGTCTCTGAAGCTAATCAATTAAACACTAGGAGACAAAGAAGCCTATTCAGGTACTTGTAGAATTTTCAAGAGAAAGAAATGTTTCAATTTCTGTAATTTTGATCGTAAAAGTTAGAGGAAACATCTGTGTGTGTGAGGAAATGATGATCGAAGTATTCCAAATTAATATTGTGGTAACTCTCGATCTATTTAGATGAGCACTAAGTATCAAAGATCTGAGAAGCAGCAGTTCTGATAGGCACCTGTGACCTCTCTCAGACAGACAGTTATTGTGAAATAGCTATATGGGAATTGACAAGGGATTGGGAGGAATAGGAAATCTGGGAGTGAAAAGGGTATTAACTGTCAGAAATGAGTTGAAGACAAAGGAGGAAGGCTAGAACCAAAAAAAAACCATATAGAGAAGTGATATGGTTCTGTTGTAAAAGACTTTGTTATTGAAGCTAATTGCCAGAAATTAAGTGGGAGACCTATTGCTGTAGTTGGAACACCTAAAGAATCCTGAGAAAAGATTGTACCTGGAAAGGAAATGAGTATTAAAATTGTAGCAGTGCTACAGGTGAAGCATGTACTTTAAGAGCCTACTAGTAAGAAGAAAATGGGTCTGGACCATCTAGATAATTTTTCCTGTATTATTCTTAGTGTGTTCAACCAGTGGAAGTTATAGATGTAGTTATAGGAAGCAGAGGGTGATGTTGAAGGTTGTTTCTCGGACTGGAGGCCTGTGCCACGGGTTGTTGCTGGAACCTTTGTTATTTGTTATTTACACAAATGATCTGGATATGAATGTACACTGCATGATTAGTAAGTTTGTGAATAATGCAGAATTAGGAAGTATCGTTGATTACAAGGAAGGATATCAAAAATTAGAGGGCTGTTGATCAGATGGGGAAGTGGTCTGAGGATTGGCAAATGCAATTCAATACAGATAAGTGTGAGGTGTTGCACTTGGAAAGTCAAACCAAGGTAGGACTTGTACAGTAAATGGTAAGGTCCTGAGGAGTATTGTGCAATAGAGGGACCTAGGAGTACAAGTACATAGTTTGTTGAAAGCGGTATCATGGTTAGACATGGTGAAGAAGGCATTTGGCATGCTGGCCTTCATCAGTCGAGGCACTGGGTGTAGGAGTTGGGATGTCATGTTACAGTTGTACAAGTCATTGGTGAGGTCACACTTGGAGTATTGTGTACAGTTTTGGTCACCCTGTTGTAGGAAAGACATAGTTAAACTGGAGAGTGTGCAAAGAAGATTTACGAGGATGTTGCCAGGACTAGTTGACCTGAGTTGTAGGGAGTGGTTAGCCAGGAATAGGACTTTGTTCCTTGGAACATAGGAGAAAAAGGGGAGACTGTTTTGAGGTGAATAAAATCATGAGGGGCAGAGATAAGCTGAATGCATATAGTCTTTCCCCCAGGGATGGGGAATTGAATGCTAGAGGGCATAGATTTAAGTTGAGAGGGGCAAGATTTAAGAAGGACCTGAGGGGCAACCTCTTCACGCAGAGTGATGCGTATATGGAATGGACTGTCAGAGAAAGTGGTTGAGGCAGGTACAATAGCAACATCCAAAAAAACATTTGGATAGGTACATGGATGGGAAGGGTTATGAGAAATATGAACCAAATGTGGGCAATTGGGACTAGCTGAGTGGGCAGCATGGACCAGTTTGGGCCGAAGGGCCTGTTTCTATGCTGTATTACTCGATGACTGACTGACTGCTCTTGAGGCAGTGGAAAGCAGTATGGAAAAGTTTTTAAAGCTTTTGTTTATATCAAGCAGGCAAGCCAGTTAAGATATTGGAGCAAATTGGTCATCATTGTTAGGTGATGATGCAATCCCTCTTCCAGAAAGGGGCTTTTTCTGAAAGAGAAGGTATTAATTAGAGGTATTTCATTGAAGTTATAAATTGGTCCCATTCTGTGGAATTGGATTAAAGGGTGACCTAATGAGAAGTTGTATTTGGTGTGAGACATCAAAACATGTAGAAGGAGATTATTTTATTTTGTGGGATGAAATGTCTGGTTCAAAAATATTAGTGACGCCAAGGAACTTGAAACAAGCAGAGCAAGTGAAAGAAACTGAGATTCTCTGGAAGCTTGTACTGTTTCATAACTGTTGAGACTACAATTTAGGACTCAAAGAATTAGATAGGAAGACTGTACAAAAGGGGATGCATGAAAATTCAGTTATCTGAAACATTTTTTTAAAAAAAGAGCATTAGTAAAAAGCAACTAAGTATTGTGAATGAGGCTGACATGTTTAACCTATCTTCTTTAATGCAGAAGTAATAGACAAATCCTGAGTTGACAGAACTTTATCAAACAGCTGGCTCAGCAACTGGATCAGAATCAGTATTTGGGTGAATGTTGCTGTTCAAAAGAGTGTTTATGAAGAAACAGACTGCCACATTGGCATTCGTCCATCAGGTGGTAGTTCACACTGGATATTGTAACAATTTACAAGTGACTCTCAAAATTCCAAAGGCGGGTTACTTGGGTATTAGGAAAACGAGGTAAAATACAATAACATTTTTATTGGCCAGGATATCATAAAGATATGATGAAACCTTTCCAGACATGCCAAGTAGTGGGAAAATCCAAACCATCAATTGAACCTGTACCCTCTTATTCTGTCAACTTCTGAAGAACCATTTAGCAGGGTCCTTATGGATTACAAAGTATCCCTAACTATAACCAGATGTGGGAATTGATGTCTTTTAAGAGTCATGGACACTTCAAAAACATTTCCGGAGGCCATCCCTTTGGGAAAAATTACAGCAAAATGATAGTGAAATAGTTCCTGGTTTACATTAATGATCTAAATCTCGGAGTGCAGGAGTCAATTTCAAAGTATTGTAAACTTGAGTCTGGTGTAGAATTTCAAATGGACATTGACAAGTTGATGGAGGGATGGATGGGTAGCCAATTAAGTTAAATGCAGAGAAATGTGAGGTGATTTTGGCAGAATGAAAATGGAGTAACACATAATGGGGTACCATCCTAAAGGATGCCTAGGAGCAGGGAGACCTGCTGGTTAGACAGGTGGAGAGTGCAGTTAATGCATACAGTATTCTGGGATTTATTAATACTGGTATGAGTACAAGTGTGACCATTATGCTGGACCTGTATAAGATACCAGTTAGACCTCAGTTGATACGATGTGTACATACTTTATTGGAGAGAGCGTAAGAGGTTTGAGAGAATAGTTTCAAGGATACAAAATTGTTTAGTTATTAAGGTAGATTGGAGAAGTGAGGCAGTTTCCCTTGATGGGGGAGAAAAACAGAGTAGAATTGATTGAAGTTTGTTTTAAAAAATCATGAGCGATCTGGACAGAAGGATAAACTGTTCCTGCTCATAAAACAATTTGTAGAAGAAGTAAATGTGATGTGAGAAGAAACTCTTCACATAGGAAATGATGGATGTGCTGCCTGGAAGTATTGTAAATGCAGGTTCATTTGAGACATTCACAATGGTTTTTGTATTTCTGTTTAAATAATGTGCAAGATTATGAGGGAAAAAAGGCAAGGAAGATAGGACTAACTCAATGCTGGTGCTGCAAGGCAGTGTGAATTATTGCCTGCTGCAAAAGAACGAATCTCATTCTTGATACTTGAAATACAATCAATCAAGGTTTAAATTTTAGGTCACATATTCAAATATATAATGAATAGTTCAGAAATAAAACAATTTATTTTTGTCAGCCTATCATCTATAGTTGCAAGGTGCAGTAAAAAGATGGTATTAAAGACCACGATTTCAGCCTATTTTCAGGACGTCATAATGATGGGAAGCAATAAATTTTCTTGTTATAGTTGGCAATTAAGGATACTGTTAATAAGTCTCCAGGATTCAGTCCTTTCAAATTAATATATGGACATGAGGTTAGAGAATTCCCTCAAAGAAAAATTTGAGCCAAAGCTTCAAATCAAATTTCCAAAATGTTTTGAATTTCTAGGAATAATTAGCCAAAGCATGTCGATTGACCAAAGAGCACTGGATAATTGCTCAACAAAGAATTAAAGCTAAAATGGATTTGTCGTTGGAAACAAGGTATTGGTATTGTTACTAGTCGGTAGTGAAACACTAAAACTGAGGTGCACTGAACCTTATCAAAGCAAAAAGAAACTGTGTGAATTTCAGTGTTAATACATTAAACCAGCACTATGACAGGTCAGAAGGAATGTATTTGTAATGGTGAAATAAAAATATTACAGCTGTTTTGAGAATGAATTAAATTTAAAATTTGAAAGTGCTAAAGTTAGCTGGAATATTATGCTATCTCCCAGAAACTGTTTGAGCTGATTTGAAAACTAATATAGACGCTTAAATCAAATCGTGTAAATCCGTCAGAGAGCGCTTCTTTGGCCATGTGTGATATTAATGTAAGGTAGGCATCACCCATGTAGAAACATCCTTACACCACTCAACCTAGAGAACGTAGCCCATGTGAGGAAAGCCATCAAGTTCATCATGGAAAATGTGCTTGTAAATCTGAGCTAGATGTGATAATGTTATTGATCAGTGCTCGCCAAATAGTATAGACTGTGACAAGATGATCGGTTGGACGCTCAGTGCGTTTAATTTGCATGTGGTGGCAACTAGATATATTCACACAGGACCCTCTTCTATGTCGGCAAAAGGAATTTGTGCATACATTCCACCTTTTTTCCCTGCCCTTGGCAGCACCCTAACTAATCAGAATCTACCTGCCTGATCTGAGGTTAATTGGCTGTCTAAGATTGACAGTTAACAGGTCCAGCTGCATCTCTGTGCCAGCCATGGTCCCATCTAGCCATGTCGTCTTCTCATATTTTATGAATTGGTATTCCTTTTCGTTAGTTTGGTTTCTTGATTGCAGTCCTGATGAGAACAAGACCATAACTTTGCATTATGCAAGAAAATTTCAATGAACTTAAGTGAGCTGAAGCATGAACCATTTTGCTTGTCATGAATAAAATACCATTGCATAGGACTAAACTATCTTTTTTCATAGGATTATACACCAGAAGAATTCCTGGCTTGTCCATCACACAATCCTGACCACTCAAAAGGTGAAAGATATCACACATGCAGGATGGTCTTCAATCCAATCAAATCAAATTTATTTAGTTTTTAAAAAAATTGCAGAAGAATACTGAAATAGATTAACTGCACAATACTTAATTTCTGACACGCCTAAAGCTTGTGGCTCTTGAATTTGACCGAAATGATGTTCAGGGACATCACAAAAGCTCTTCTTAACTCCTCTTTTGTGAGACTAAATGATATTGATTACCAAATAAAGTACAAATATTTTTCTGGGACTCAAGAAATCGAAATATCAAAAGGCTTATTTTCAAGCTCCAGACAACAAGGGTTGCACTTTTATCATGTAGCTTTAAAAATGTTCCCTGATGGGTCAGAATAATGATGATTATCTGTTTCATCTGTTCTCAATCTAAACAATCTCCAGATGTCATCATCAACTTATGCAACTAACTACAGATTAACAATTAACTAACTACTGACTACAGGCTACATTAAACAAGGTAAGATAGCTAGGAAATAAATCTATGTAGATATCTGTAACCAGTGTTGTGTACTGACTAATCATAAATTGCAAAGCGGCATCATAGCCAGTTTTAAGGTCAAAGTGTAGGCTCAGTCATTGTGTATGTTTAAGATTGAGATCAGTAGATTTCCATGTTAAAAATATCAAGGGATTTGGGGTTAGTGAAGAAAAATTGTGTTGTATTAGAAGATCAGCCGTGATCTTGGTGAATGGCCTCCCAGTCCTATTTCTTAAGTGACATTTTGAGTGTACTTTACACTCCTTTAAAACCATTTAGAAAAATTACAAGGTATTTGCAATGCTGCGTATCTAATTGCATAACCTTTCCTTTTCAGAGAGGAAGAGATTAGGAATTGGACAGTCCCAAGAAATGAACACGCTGTTCCGTTTCTGGTCCTTTTTTCTCAGAGATCATTTCAACAGGAAAATGTATGAAGAATTTAAACAGCTGTCTCTTGAGGATGCAAAAGACAATTACAGGTATAATCAGCAGTATTTGGTTGAAGATGAACAAGAAGAATGGAATAAAAGAAAGAAGTTCTTCCTAATTCAGACTAAAAGATTTTTGTCCTCAACAGAAATTTGCATTTTATTATATGCGTTTAAACTAAAAATACCCCAAGGCACAAGATGGTTCTTCAGTAAAACTGAAATTGGTACTGTATTGCAATATTAGAGCAAGAGGGCAGAAGCTCATCAAAAAGATTGATTTTTTTTTTTAAGGAGAAAAATTAGGTAGGAAGAGATTTTAGGGAGGAAGCTAGCAGTACAAATTAGTAACTAGTTAACAAATCAAATAATACAAATAGACTGTTTGGGCTGTGGAGTTTGTGGAAATCGCTGCAATCCGTACACGTTGTGGTAAGTGTCAGCAGCTCAATTTTGGCACAGTTGTTGAACTGTAATCTGCTCAAGCTGTAATCTGTTATGGGACATGGGAGGGAGCATACCTGGATGAAAGTCAAGTGTCACTTGAGTTAAGTTGAACTTTTGTTAGTAATTATATAAAGGAAGGTATACAAATGAGAGTCGGGTACGAATAGGGATCAAGGGTTCAGTGATGGTCTTCCTTCTGGCAAGCTGATAACAAAGAACTTGTTACCTATGTGAATGAGGGTAAGGACTACAGGGTGGGTGGACAAATTGATCATGTCACAGAGGGCTGTTTAATTGAGGGGAAGTGCAGGTAAATGTGGCAGCAAAAGGCATGTTTTCAGTCAGGGGATTGCATTTTGTTCTCTGCAGCTCAAAAGTGTTGTCTACCTGCTCTCAGTTAGAGACGTCTCCTTGTGGCTTGAGAAAAACTTGGTGTGAAAGTTTGTGGTGATTCATACAAGAAACAATTACATTTGTGCAACTGGGAATTGTGCCCCAATAGGGCACTACCACAGCCCTGAGGAGTGTTGGGAGTTTTTCTATAGAGGATGGACTTCACTTAAACCAGCCAGGACCGGACTTGGACAGATTGGTAAAGCTTTAAACTTTGACAATAACCTAACAGAAACCAACAGTGGCTGTTCAAATGAAAGAAGTTTCTAAGGTGGAAAGTAAATATTCCAGGGTTTACATCATTTCAGAAAGACAACAGAAGAAGAAGTATACCTGCCTTGAAAGTGTAGGATTGTAATGTCAAGAACATAACATAAATGGGAATAGGCCATTTGACCCTTGAGCCTAATCCATTTGTGATTTTAAACTGTAAGATTTATTTATTGTATGTTTGGGTTGCTGCATTTTGAGTTGATAACTGGTGGATTTTCTGTGTCTAAGTTAATAATTAACTTGTAACAATTTTAAAGTTTTTGACACCTGACTTGAGTTTTGTGCACCACTAATGGACTACTTTTAAATTTTTGGTTTGCAACCCAACGAGGTAAATAGTGAGGCCTTAGGGTTTGTAAGTAACTTTTTTTAAGCTTAAGGGAAACATTTGTAGCTTCGAGAAGGAGACCTTTGTGGGGCAGTCCTATGAAGTCCATGGAACAGGATGGTTGTATAGACATGGGCTCCCAAGAAAGGAAGGATATA